TATACATATAGTCACTAGTATAATTAGCATCTAACAACGTGTAATATTATTTTACTTAATGTATTATATAGGTAATATATGTTAGATTTCCTTAATTAGAAGACAATAACTATATATTATGCTCATAATTTATCACACTATATATATATTATATATATAAACATATTAGCACTATATATATATTAAAAGTATATAGTATATTATCATATAAATAAGAATACATCATAAACATTTATCATATATATAATATATCAAGGTATATATATATTGAATATATTTTAATAAGTTTGTAAAATAAACATTAATATATATTATAGGGTTAATATAAATTATTATATTATATAGTGTATACTTACTCACTTGGTATGTCTACAGTGTGTAAGTCAAATACTGTCCATAACATATATAAGTAAATATATCGAAGGGTTTGCAGTGAATAGTCACTATATATATATATATATATATTATATATTAAGTATATATATATACTAGAATTATATAATATATGTATTGTTAATATATTTGTTATAATATTTATGGGTGTGGTGGTATAGGTAATACAGTATTGAATATAGTATATAATATAAGTAAGAGTAATAGTATAATATAAATATGAAAACAGATATTGTTGCTTTTAATATATATTATATAATATAATATATATATATATATATATACATATACATATAATTACTACATTATATATATATATTATATTATTTATATATATTAGTTGGTATATGATTATTATATAGTTGATATAATTATAATATATAGTACTAGCATTCAAATATATTAGTTATATAGTATATACTATATATATAGCAGTATTTACAGCACTTCTCTAATATGTATATGTATTTTCAGTAGAATATATGATATAAAACAACCCCATAGTAATGTATTCTTGACTATTCTATAGAACTAAACGATAATGCTCTCGTTGCATGTGTCTACCCATCTGAACCATCTAGTCAGAGCGTGCAAATGCCTACATTCGATTCTCTTTGTTAGGCTATTTAGGAGACAGAATATCCGCGTTAACGTTTATCACACAAGTAATTTTAGAATTATTCATCTCTACTGCGTACTTTAGAAACCCAAGTACAAAACATTACCTTTGTGTTACCAAGCCTGTAGTTCTCTTCCGGCAGCGAAATCGCATTGAGGCACACTCCCGCCGCAGCCTTCTGGTCCCCTGCCGCGGCCATCGCTTTAGAGGCCAAGATGGCGTAGCTGGAGAGAGGATAGCGTGTATTGATAATCTCGAACGATACGATCTGATTCTTAGGAAATGAGTGATATGACACTGCTATCTAAATCTGATCTGTCAAAAACCAAGTGACCTGGGGTGACCATCCATGAATCTATGTAAATATGTCAACCAGCTCGAGCAACAAACCGATGGCAAAAGTCGGGGTACACCATCCTGTTGGGGAAGCCCTTTCGGCAGATACGGATGCCCTCGAGTACACCGTTGCAGGTCAGCTGGTGCATGATGAGGCCAGCGTCAACAACACCTGCGGGAACTCACTTGTAATGAGGAGACCAAAGCAGAAAAGCCGACGCGCCACTTTCTTTAGGTTGCGTAAAGCCTTTAGTGACCTTGTTTTTGGATACGTCTGAACGCCAGCAAAATAATCATCTGAGAAGCATTAATTCCTTTAGTTCTGTCATTTCAGAACTAAATGGAAAACTGACAGAGAAAATGATTATATATATCTGTTAACCTAATGAAACTCACCAGGAGACTTGGTCTCGTTAGGTACGATGCAGCGGATGAAGTGCGGGTGCGTGGCGTTCAGGGTCTTCATCAGGTTGTTCAGTTCAGCTGCTCCTGTCAAAACGAGAGCGAAGTGAGGTTTTTGGTTTACATGATGAATAAACCAAGCATTGTTTCCTGTATGTTATCAAGGATAAAGAAAGGTAAGCTAAGGTCGACCTTACCCTGTAACCTGATGACACTGTCTTGAACCCACCAGAACCTTTACCTCGACCACCTGTGGGGAATACTCATTGGTGAATACACTTACTCTATTGCTATATACTACATATGAATACCAATGAGATCCATGTCAGGGATGTATTTTACATTAAAGAATAAAGAAAAACATTAGCATAATACGTAACCCCTGCAGCCTTTTGAAGTTTACTCTGTAAAAAAAAAAGAGTAATTATTAATCACAAATAAAATATTCTTATCTTTCTGTCTGTCTACATATCTCTCTTTATGTTAAAATGCACAGATAAGTCATCAGATTATGAGATAGTAATGACATTTTTTCCAAGTGTCGAAATGATAAATGCACTTACCACCTTTTCCCTTGCCCTCATCGGCTCCTCCGGACTGCCCAGGGTGATCAGCAAAAAGATCCACAAGAAGGGAATTGCTGGACTTCTTCAGCTGGTCCACAACCGAGTCGTTGAGGGGATCCTTGTTCTTCTCTAGCCAGCCGGTGAGGTTGTAGGGCACCGTGCCGGCGTAGTGGACGATGGAGAAGTGTGCTTCTTTCTGGCCGGGCTTGGCTGGCTTGGGCTTGACGAAGCAAGGTGATTTTCCCAAATGGTTGGCCTTCAGCTTTTCTTCAAATGACTTGTCAGTAGCCTTAGGAAACATGGACTCCTCCTCAAGAATGGCAAGAATTCCAAGTTTCTGTCGAGATTAGGATTTGTTAATCATGCGAGGAGACATGACACTATATCAAGGTATTTTGCAAAGAAAGATTTTACAGATATGAAATAAGAATGAAAGTCAGTTGACGATTTAATAAAAAAAATATTCATCATCTATGTTACGATCACTTACCTTTAGCCAAGTATACTGTATGTGATATGTATATTTCGCCTCCCATTAAAGTTATTGGGGGTTGTATCACTGACTTTTTAAAATAATTTTTAATAATTTTCTAAAATATGTCTGCATGTCAGATGTTAGAGCTTCCATTAAGTAAAAGGAACTTCTAGCAGATTTTGTACAGTTTACCTTCTCGAGTCCCAAGCCTCCCATCCAAGCTTGTGCTAATGGGAGGCCCAGCACGTTGCAGCTAGACAACTCCTGTAACTCTCCTCTGCTCCGATGAAAATGGTGCAAATCAGGATAACCCATTACACTGTCAAGGAGTGATGAAGACAGATGAGTGGCTGAGCGGACAGCGCTACTGCCGCTCATCTCCATGGGAGGATAAGGGGAAAGGGAGGTAGGGAAGACCAAAGTGTAAATATGATGGGGAAAGTTACACTACCAAGGGGGAGTCTGACTGGTGTAATACAAGAAGATGCAGGCAGTCTTACAACATCCATGAATTTCTGGCCGTAGTTAGCAACATATATACGGCCTTGAAAGACAAAATCCGTTTCATCATAGTAATAAGAAACAGGACAAGAAGAATGAAAGAACCCCATATAGAGGGGATCTTTGATGATCTTGATATGGTTATCCATTTGTCCTAATAATGATTTCTTTCGAAACTTTTGGACAACCATCATGCCAGAAACGGGATACTTGAACATATGTGAAAGTTCTTACAAGAGTTGGAGATTGATAATGAACCGTTTCCCGCCACAGTCTGCTTGGCGTAAGATCATATGGAAATACATATTTGGCAACTCATTTTAACACATATACAGGGGGAAACGGTCTCATTATATAATACAGGGATTGTGATTTATCACAGAAAGGATATATAAGAACATGCTTTTCACTGATTCTCTGGAAGGAAAGTCTCAGGACAGAGAATCACAAAGAGCAACGTAAGATATGTTTGCAATAGCTACAGTAGAGGAAGGGAAGGTATTCCAAACCTATAACGACTAAATACAGATTCTTACAAGTAATATTTGTTTTTTCGAGAACCTGAAATCTGTTGTAGGACGCCAAATCATCAAAGAATAGGATTTTTCGACAAAATGGGTAAATCAGATTTGACAGTGAGAGAAGTCGTGGACTGTGGGGTTCCTGCGTGCATCTTGGTGCTACGGACTGTACCTTCTCGAAGAGTTCGATGCAAGCCTGCAGATCCATACCGAAGTCCACGAAGGTCCAGTTAATGCCTTCCCTCTTGTATTCCTCCTGCTCTAGCACGAACATGTGGTGGTTGAAGAACTGCTGCAACTTCTCATTACAGAAGTTGATGCAGATCTGCTCGAAACCGTTGAACTGAAAGAAAAATTGCAAATTTCTTCAGAGCCGCTGTTCAGCAAGATATGTATGAATTAAGGAAATGGGGAGTTAAGTTACTGCAATATATTCATAATGGTTAACTTGACGTTACTTACATCGAAGATCTCGAAACCGGCAATGTCGAGCACACCGATGAACATAGCACGCTTCTGTCCAGTTTCAAGGGCAACGTTACATTTCTTCACCATCCACCTGAACAGGCGGTCAAACATGGCCTTCGCGAGGGCGCCGACGGAGTAGCTCACTTGATCTACGTTCCTGCCTTGCGTCACGAATTCGGCTCCCACTTTAATCTTGGGTTTGCACAAATTCTTATAGAGTTCAGTTCCGTCCACGAGCAATAGCTTTCCGATGGTCTCGCCAACCTAGCCACAGAAAAAGTGACTTTGATGGATGTTTCCGAATAAGTTCAATGAGAAATAAAACATGAACAAATTATATACATACATTCATACATACATACACACACACACACCATATATATATATATATATATATATATATATATATATATATATATATATATATATATATATATATATATATATATATATAATATATATATATACACACACACACACACACACACACACACACACACACACACACACACACACACACACACACACACACACACACACACCACACACACACCACACACACACACACACACACACACACACACACACACACACACACACACACACACACACACACACATATACATAATATATATATATATATATATATATATATATATATATATATATAATATATATATATATATATATATATATATATATATATATACATAAATAAG